TTTTTTTTTTTTTATCAAACAGTACTGTTGTTGTTATTAAGTGCCATCTGATCAGTTCCAGCATGGTGACCCTGTGTACAGCAGAATGAGACACTGGCCTGGCCTGTGCTATCCTCCCAATCATTGCTACACCTGAGCCCATTGTTGCGGCCACTGTGTCAGTCCATCTTGTTGAGGGTCTTCCTGATTTTTGCTGCCCCTCCACTTTACCAAGCATAATGTCCTTCTCCAGAAATTGGTCCCTCCTGACCACATGACCTAAGCTGGTGAGACAGAGTCTGGCCATTCTTGCTTCTGAGCATTCCAGTTGCACTTTTTCCAAGATAGATTTGTTCCTTCTTCTGGCAGTCCGTAGTATTTTCAGTATTCTTTGGCAACACCACAATCCAGAGCCATCAATTCTTCTTTGATCTTCCTCATTTCTTGTCTAGTTTTCACATGCATTAAAAATACCATGCCTTGGGTCAGGTGCACCTTAGTCTTCAAAGTGACATCTTTGCTCCTTAACACTTTAAAGAGGTCTTTTGCAGCAGATTTGCCCAGTGCAATAAGAAGTCATTTGATTTCTCGACTGCTGTTTCCAGGGGGTTGATTGTGGCTCCAAGTAAAATGAAATCCTTGACAACTTCAGTCTTTTCTCCGTTTCTTGTGATGTTGCTTATTGGTCCGGTTGTGAGGATTTTTATTTTCTTTATGGTGTGTAATCCATACTGAAGGCATTGATCATCATCAGTAAGTGCTTCAAGTCTTCTTCACTTTCAGCAAGCAAGGTTGTATCATCTGCATATCGCAGGTTATTAATGAGTCTTCCTCCAGTCCTGATGCTGCCTTCTTCGTGTACCTCACATTCTCAGGTTATTTGCTCAGCATACAGGTAGAATAAGTATGCTGGAAAGATACAACCCTGATGCACACTTTTACTAATTTTAAACCACGGAGTATCCCCTTGTTTTGTTTGAACGACTGTGTCTTGGTCTATGTGCAGGTTCCTCATAAGCACAATTAAACATTTTGGAATTCCCATTTTTCATAGTGTTAGCCATTATTTTTTATGATTCACATAGTCAAATTCCTTTGCATAGTCAATAAAACACAGGTATACATCTTTCTGGTATTCTCTGCTTTCAGCCAAGATCCATCTGACATGAGCAATGATATTCCACATCCTTTTCTGAGTCCATCTTGAATTTCAGCAGTTCCCTGTCTATGTACTGCAGCAACCTTTTTAGAATTATCTTCAACAGAATTTTACTTATGTGTGATATTAATATTGTTTGATAATTTGCACATTCTCTTTAATCATTTTTGTTTGAAATGGGCACAAGTATGTATCTCTACCAGTCTGTTTTCCAGTTAGCTGTCTCCCAATTTTTGCATAGATGAGTGAGTGCTTCCAGCATTGTATCCATTTGCAGAAACATCTCATTTTGCATCCCA